CCTTCCCTTCCCTTCCCTTCCCTCCCCTCTCCATTTGGGATCACTGAGGTCTCACCCAGCCATTCCTGCTATCCTTTTCCTCCTCTCCTTTGGCTTTTGGGGACAGTGACCCCTGGCAGGATCTCCCAGTGCAATTCCCAGAGATATCCAATACCCAACTCCAGATTTGCCTGGAGCGAGGCAGATTTTTGCCTTGTTATTTCCCTCATGGAATTATCTGAGTTCAGATTAATAAATAAATAATAATAAATAATAATAAATAATTATCCCAGCCGAGCAGAAAGCACAGCCCAAACCCCATTCCCAGCCAGCCCCAGCTGTGTCTCCTTGGATCCGTTCTGCTCACGCCTCGCAGTTGGATTCCATCCCGTGGTGTGACATCCTGATGGAAGGTGGCAGCGGGATGTGATGGGAAGCCATGGCCAGCGAGTGACTAACGCTGCTGGAGATGTGTCTCTCATTTTCCTTTCCTGGCTGCTGGGAATGTTTCCTGGGCTGGATGGGAGCTGGGTTTYCCCAGCTGGTCCATCCCTGCTGGGAGGTTTCGGTGTCGGCTGGGTCAGGATCCGTGTGGGAGCTGTGCCAAGCAGGGATAATGTTTGTAGGGAGCAGAATCACGGAATGATTTGGGCTGGAAGGGAGCTTGAAGCTCATCCCATTCCATGGGCAGGGACACATCMCACCAAACCRGRTTGCTCCAAGCCCTCCCCACATCCCAAAGATTMCCTGTCCCCATTCTTGTGGTGGTTCCACAGCAGAGCTCTCCACAATATCCCATCCTTATGGGGTTTTCTAAAAACCCCTCTTCCCTTTTCCTCCTGCAGTGCCCAGATGCTCTGGATTGCTGTGGAATTACTTCCCCAAGCATGGAAACACGAAAAGTGTCAGCTGGAGAGGGGTGAGAGGGCCCAGCGAGGCCCTGTCCCTCCCCAGCTGTCTCTCCACGATTCCTTTTGCTGCTTCTGGCAGGAGCAAATCCCCATCTGAGCCATCCCTGGCCCGGGTCAGGAGCGGGGTTGGATGCTTCCCTCTGGTTTGTAACAGCCTGACAGAAATGGATTTTCACAGAGCTGCACGAGGAGCTGCCTTCTCTGGCAGCACAAATTGGGTTGGGGGAACCACAGGGTCAAGGAATCATAGGATTGTGGAATATCCTGAGTTGGGAGGAACCCACAAGGATCATCCAGCCCAACCCCTGGCCCTGCACAGACCCCCCAACAATCCCCCCTGTACATCCCTGGCAGCGCTGTCCAAACGCTCCTGGAGCTCTGGCAGCCTCAGGGTCCAGCACCCTCTGAGGAAGGACTTTCCCTAAAATCCAGCCTAACGTTCCCCTGGCACAGCTCCAGCCATTCCCTGTCCCAGGGAGCAGAGATGGGAGCTGCCCCTCAGGGGGAAGCTGTAGAACAATGGGATCAGTGTAGGCTCCAGGGGTGTCCCCTCCCAGCTGGGGACACCAGCCCGGTCCAGTGTGAAAGCTCCCTTCCATCCAGTGCTGCTGCTCTGGCCATGTCCCTATGGAATTATCCCAAATCCCTGTCCTGCCTCTTCCTCTTGGCTTTGGGACCAAGGAATTTGCAGTTTATGGGGTTGGGCACCATTGGGATCCCAGCCAGGGGTGGCCCAGCCAGGGACAAGTGCTGAGATGCCACCAGAGCCACCTCAGCTCCTGAGCCATCCATGAAAGCACCCCTGGAGGGCTGACCTCAGGGAGGTTTGGTGGGCAGGGATTTGGGATTGTGTCCAATTGATCGGGGTGGGAATTCCAGAGCCATAAATCCAGCTTTTCTGCTGGACACGAGGACATGACAGTGGCATTGAAGCTGACAAGGGACACGTGTGCCAGCAGCCAGTGCCATCAGACCCTGCCCCTCTCCGTGGGCATCCCGTTGTGGGGAAAGGCTTCTCCCTGACACCGAACCACCCCCAGGAGGGGATGACCCAAAGGGATCCTCATTTCTTGGGAACCAGCAGAGGTTGTGTCCTCCTGAACCTGCCCTGCACATGGCAGGAGCTCTGCCCAGCTGGCACATCTGGCCACAGCTGGCAGCGAGGGTTTCCCACCCCGGCAGTGGAGTCAGAGGACACGGCTTTGCCTGGATAAACCTAACTGAGCCTGCAAAGCTGGGAATTGCGGGGAGAAAAAATCCTGGTGCGAGGCTTTAAGCCAGCTGAACGTGACATTTGAGCTGGATAAATGGGATTGTCACGCTGGAAAGAGGAAGGGCCTGGATTATCCAGTGGGTTTTCCCTTTCTGGGGAGACGCTCTGAGAACAGCTTCCCTCTGCTCTGGCTTGGTTGTTTTTCATCCTGCTGGATCCACCCTGGATCATCCTTCACCCACTGGGCCTGGCTGTGACCCGGGAGGTTGGAAGGGACCTTAAAGATCATCCCGTTCCAACYCTCTGTGTGGACAGGGACACTTCCCACCGGATCAAATTCCGTGTGGAATATTCGCCACATGTGTTAACTGAGGCAGCAGTGGCTCCCTTTGTAGCTTGAATGCTGCGTGGATTTATATCCTGGCGAGGGAAAGCTGCTGGAGCAGCTGCTCTGGGGTCRCTCCCACCCTATTTTGGCCTTAAAAGCAGCACGAGCAAGGTCTGAGGTGTCCCATGAAAGGACTTTTGCTGCAGAGAATCTCCCTGGGGTGCAGGAAGTAAAGTCAGGAWGGTGGGGAAACACCAGAATTCTGKCACTKGCMCTGGCACAGGGTGCCCAGAGAAGCTGTGGCTGCCCCTGGATCCCTGGCAGTGGCCAAGGCCAGGCTGGACATTGGGGYTTGGGGCACSCTGGGATGGTGGGAGGTGTCYCTGCTGTGGCAGGGATGGGATGAGATCATCTTTAAGGTCCCTTCCAACCCAAACCATTCCATGGTTTTATGAGTTTATGATGTGGCTCCAGACTGGGATTTTTGGCTGGTGGTAGAGGTATTATTGGGAATAATCCCGATCCTGGATTTCTTGCTGTTGGAGTCCTCTGGAAAGAGGCTCCACCCTGGTGTCTCCTCCTCRTCTCTCCACGGGACTCACCCACTCTGGGTGCGTTTTGGTCACAGCCTGGGATGAGTGCACAGTCCCCTGGCCATTTTTTGGCTTTGCAGTGACTCATCCCGGGATGTTTTCCACTTCCATCGATTTTGTCCATCCTGTTCATAACACAAACCTCTCCCGGTATGGTTTGTAGTAGGAGCCAGGAGGGTTTGTTTATCAGGCTGTCTCTGTGATGGATAACGGGCTCACACAATTCCCTGGGATCCACAAAGGGGCCGGGAGATGAGGAAGGGGGAATTGGGACAAAACAATTGTCCCCTCTGGTGTGGTTTGGCACTGCTGCCACCCCGGGAGATGCTCCAGGTGTCCTCGGTGAGGGTTTGGGGCTCGCTGAAGGCACCACCGCCCACCCCAAAAGAATGAAATAGGGACGCTCCAGGTGCTGTTCTCCATGCAGGAGGCGCCCAGGCATCCCAGCTGCCAGCCGGGAAACATCCGGAATTCTCCGCGGAACCGCCGGGATGGCAGCAGGGGCAGCGAGGGCGTCACGGCCAAGGCAGCGCCGCCGTCCCCGTCACCTCCGAGGGGCGCGGGTGCCACTCAGGGCTGTCACAGGCGCCTGTCACCGCCGGGRAGCCGGCTGGCAGCGCTCCTCCGCCGTGTCGCCTGTCAGAGCCGCGCCGGAGGTGGCTGTCACCCTTTGCCCGGGCGGTTTCCCCCTTCCCGGCTCTGCTCCTGGCACAGCTGATCCCATCCAGCGCGGCTGTTGATTTTGGGATAAGCTGTGCCGCGCCGAGCAGGAACCCTGACCTTTGCCGCAGCGGCCAAGGAAAACACAGATTGAGGGTGGCATTCCCCCGCCGCGACAGCGGGGAGCGGGGTTCGGCTTTTGGGAAGCCCTCGGGAGGCAGGAACGGGATGGGTGACCCGGAGAAATCTCCGCGGGGCTGCTCAGCGAGCGCCGGCCGCGCTCTGCCCGGGGAAAACTCCGCTTGTGCCCCTCAAACCCGGCTCGGAGCGGGAGAGGWGGGAGGGAAATGTGCGAGGGGAATGATGGCCGGGACAGTTTGGATTTCCGAGGCGGGCAGGAGGTTGCCGGTGATAAAGGTTTAAGTGATGAGTGGCACGGGGACAGCGGAGGTCGGGAGACATCAATAGGCGGGGGCGGCTCGGGGGCGCTGGAGCGGCGGGGAGGGAGGAAAGGAGAGGGAGGGAGAATGGAGCAGAGGCAGCCGCTGTCACGCTTCAAAGCGTGCGAGGATCAGCCGGTGCCGCTGCCACTTCTCTATCCACGACAAAGCCTGGCCCCACCACCCTGAAGAAAGGCGCGCTCGCGGGTTTTTTTTTTTCTCCCCTTGTAATTAACGCTAATTGGGGCAATTTGAGGGGTGTTCAATGAGAATATTCCTCCCGTGCCAGGGGGGAGGCTGCCTGCATCTCCCATCTTCCCTCTGGGCATCCCCCCGATTTAATATTGCRAGGAACAACTTTTCCTCCGGGTGGGAACCGGGGTGAAGGGGAGAAACCCCAATTAACCCCAGAGCCCCCCAAACCCTGGGGGTTGCTCCCCGGTGCCTTTCCCTGCCCTCCTGCCCCGCTCCGCCGCTTTGCCCTCCTGCAAACAGCGGCCCTATTGTTAAACGCCGCGATCCTACGCGTTTTGCTGCCGCTAATGAAGGTAATTAGCTGTGAGTCACGTCGGGCTCATTTACGTTACGAGGTCAAAATCCCCGCTACACTTCAATACATCTCTGCAGCGAGCACATTTAGAAAGTAATTAAAAGGCTCAGCAGCCGCCTTTGCCTCCATCCCCTCTCCCCCTCGCCRGGCTGGCAGGATTTAATTGAGGCCAGCCGAAAGTTGGTGGGAATAAATTGTGGCTGATAACGTGGAGGTTGTAATTTAATTCTGCGAGAGGAGCTGTTCTGTTCTCGCCCGGGTGTTTGGTTCTTCGGGGAGTGGGGTTGGAGGGGGGAATGGCAACAACTGAATTCTGTAATGGGATTTAGCGATGGGGGGAGGACACTCGGGGAGGGACAGTAAGTGGTCACTCTTATAGCGTCATCTCTGGGATTTGTGGACCAATTCCCCACCCCTGGCAGGTTGTGGATAGCGGGGTGGTGGGAGGGATGCTGGTCCAGCAGCCCACGGTGGGTTGTCGCAAAGGCTGGTGAGAAAATGTCGAAAATATTGGCAGTGTGGTGCTGGGGATGTGAATTTCCCTCCTTGAAGGGATAAGGGAAGGRAGTTTATAAAAAGGGGGTTTATAGAAATTAGGGAGAGTGACTTTCTACAGGGGTGGATAAAGCCAGGACACAGGGAATGGCTTCCCAGTGCCAGAGGGCAGGGATGGATGGGRTATTGGGAAGGAATTGTTCCCTGGGAGGGTGGGCAGGCCCTGGCACAGGGTGCCCAGAGAAGCTGTGGCTGCCCCTGGATCCCTGGCAGTGTCCAAGGCCAGGCTGGACAYTGGGGCTGGGAGCAGCCTGGGACAGTGAAAGGTGTCTCTGCCCATGGAAACGAGATGATGTTTGATGTTCCTTCCATCCCAAACCATTCCATATTTCCATGATTCTGACATCTCAATCACTGCCTCTTCCTGCGGATTGACCAGAGGAGGCGAAGGAACCGGATCCACTGACCGGAGCAGGACGAGCTCGGGATGCTCCCAGGATTTCCAGCCCRGGGAGCAGGATGTAAATGTAACCTTCAGCCGGCGAGCGCAATCAGAGCTCGGCTCCTGCCGCGATATTAAAATGGGATATTGGAGCAAACAGCGGCTCTCCCCGTTCCCTGGGATAATATCCAGCGCCTGTTTAGCCAGGGATTTGCCGGCACTCTGAGCAAACAGCCGYGAGCCGTGCCGGTGCCCGGGAAACCTCGCAAATCCACGAGTGAAAATCCAGCCTTTGGATCCCGGCACGGATCCGCTCCCGGGGCTGGGTATCCTGCGGGGCAGGACCTTTCCCGTGACCAGCAGGAGCAGGAGCAGGAGGAGGAGGAGCAGCTTTCCCACCCTGGCTGAGGGTGAAGGAGGATGTGGAATCCAAGCATGGCCCTGCTCCTTCCTGCTCCCGTGGTGCCARTGAACTTCCCTCTTTTCCCTGATCCTTCTCCCGGCTTTTCCCTCAGAAGCAGAGCACCAACGCTGCTTTTTACTCTGTTTCTTCTCTCAGAATATGAGTGGAATTGCTTTTGGAGTGGYTGACACTCAGCTTTTCCTCAGCCGCCACCTCAGGCCATGATGTCTTATTAAAAAATGACAATGAGGCTGTTCCAGCTTTATTTTCCCTTTTTTTTTAGACATTGTGCCCCGATTCTGAAAGTTTTGCAATCCCATGAATGCACAGGGATACATCCTCTTCCTGGTCCAAACTGGGTGATGGGATCTGGGATAGGAGTCCCCAGTTCCCACAGACCCACAAAGCCCTGAGGTTCCCTGATTTCCAGGGGTGGCATTCCAAGTGGAAAAACCAGGAAAATCCCATTTTTTGTGCTCATCCTTTGCTCCTGTTCCCGAAAATGTGATCCCCAGCTCTCGATTTYGTTACCAGTGCTGGTTTTCTGTGTCTCTCCCTGCAGATACGCTGTCAGTGCCTCGCTGGTCCCCACAGATCCCTCGCCGGGATTTGGGAAACTCCATAAAACACAGGTACGCCCACCCCACTGCTGTGCCGGGATGAGGGGTGAGGATCTCCCTTCCCATCTCTGCTCCAGCAYGGGGAGATTGGGGACATTCCCGCTCTGTCTGGGCTGTGCCATCCTCCAAACCCATTTCAATTCCATTTCAGTTCAGATCTGGTTCAGATAAGGCTCGAGTCRCTATCGATAAAAGCTGTGCAGTATCTGTGACCTTGCCAGCCTTCAGCAAATTCCCCATCTCCGGATTATCACCCTCCCATATCTCCCTGAAGAGGGAAAAGCTCTGGGAAGGCTCTCAGTGCCGCTGTTGGATGGGAAGCTGCTTCCCAAGGGGCTGGGAACTTCGGTCCCYGGGRCAGGGAGGGGTTTTGGGGGTGCCCRGGGTGGGAGGGCTGGGATKGGATTCCCTTTGGAACAACCTGTGCCCTTCTCCAGAACCGAAGTGGCGCTCGGGGCTCTGTTTTGGCATCCCCAAAAAAATTCCTGGAGACCTGCAGCGGGGTTTGAAGGCAGCAGGGGGAGGAGAAAGCAGAACTCGGGAGATAAGCGAGGCTTCAGCTCTCCCTTCCCACCCTCCGCRTTTCTCTCCACAGGTTTTCCACCAAGTACTGGATGTCTCAGACCTGCACCGTCTGCGGGAAGGGAATGTTGTTCGGCTTAAAATGCAAAAACTGCAAGTACGGTGCCGTGCCGGGGCTGTTCGTGTCGCTCCTTGAAACTGTCAGGGGACAATCGGGATTTGGGGGATTTGGGCACGCAGAGACCAACCAGGCTCTGTCCGGCTCATCCCCMCAGGAAGCTTTAATGGGCCGTGGAATTGGGTGAAAAACACCCCGAAGCAGGGCTGGGATTGGGTCTGGCGTGGGATCGGGGTCCTCGGGGAGGATGTGGCTGCCAGAGCTCGGCTCTGCTCGCTGCAGAGCTCTGAGTCAGATCCTGACAGTCCCCCCTGCCCTAAGCCTGGTTTTAGATCCCCACGTTATGGACATTCCCTGTGGGATCATCTGCAGATGGGAGGTGGATGTGCTGGACCAGGCAGGGGCAGAGAGTGGCCATTGGGTGGGGTTTGCCCACAGTTTTGGGCTGTAACCTCTATTTTTGCGAAGTTTTGAGCACCTCTGTTTCCTGAGGAGCCGACCCACCCTGAATCAGTTAAGGAAAGGGGATAAAATGGGATAAAACTGGGAACAAACAGCAAGGCAGAGACTGGGGGCGCTTCAGCTGCTCCAAATCCGGCCCAGCCTGCCTTGGACAGAACCAGCGCTTGGGAAAGCTGCTCCTGGAGCCAGGATTGCCTTTCCCGGGGCCGGGAGCCRGGAATGTGAGATTGTCTGCGGGTAACGGAGCGATAACCATCGCTGCTGCCGCCCATTAAGCGCTGATGAGTTGGTAAATTGGGATTTAAACCTGACGAGAAGTGCTCGGTTACTCCACAGCTGGCGGGGCTCTTTCTGGAAGGGATGTTATCAAATATGGATTAAAAAATGCATTTTAAGGGGGTGATTCCCACTGTATCCATACTCGAGGAACTGGAGGCTTTTCCTGCGAGCTCTGCGTGCGGGAGGAGGGATTTTGTGCCTGGTCCCTGACCGGGATCAAGGATGCTGTGCCAGCCCCGCTCCCTGTAATCCTACAGAAAAGAACAAATCCATTTCCYGCTASTCAGAACTTGAGAGCRAACACGAGACATTTAGGTTTTTTTYCCCAGTTTGGYCCCGGCGCTGCTTTTCCCAGAAACCAGAGGGGAACCGGCAGGTAAAACAAACAACCGGACCCCAAACCCCCCAAGCCTCAAATACCAAATTAATTCCTGACTTTCCCTCTAGGAACAGCTTTGTAATAAAAGCTAACACGGGCAGCTCCTGAATTTTCATTACCCAGCTCATTGACTTGAAGCTGCAGGTTTTCTTTTTTTTTTTCCCCATCCTTTCCCCTTGTTTTGATAAATCCTTTCCTCCTCTTTCCCTTTTCCCCCATGGCTTTCTGCYGGCCTGGGGGAGCGTTCCCATCCTTTATCAAGGAATGGGAAGGATTTGGGAGTTTGCCCATGCCTGTATTCATGACCCGGGGGTGAAACCCTCCAGACTCCACGAACAGGGAAAAGCTCCCCAAAATATCCGTCGTGGCTGTAAATCCTCTCTTTATTTTGGCTAAATGCCCTTAAAATAGCCAGGAGGGGACAGCACAATGRCAGGCACACAYAYAAATGAATTTAATTAAGCATCCAGCAGCAGGATGGCGGGAATGGGGATTTAATGGAATTTAATGGTTTGGGCTGGAGGGACCTTAAAGCTCATCCTGTCCCACCTTCCAGTAAAATTTTATCGGACTCTGCTCCTTTTGTTGTGGCCACCACAGGCACAAGTTACAATTTGGGGCATCCCCAAGCCTGGCTGGTGCCTTGCAGCTGGCAGAGAAAGGGGGAGCTGGGCAGAGCCCCCAGCTTTGGGAATCCCTGTGCTGCTCCTTTGGGGTGGATGCGTTTTCCAGGGCAACTCCTGTGTCCTGGCAGCCACCCCACCCTGGTGCCCCAGGATGTGCATCCCGTGCCGTTCCTTATCCCTGAGCCTGCTGCTCGGGAATTWTGGGAATTATGGGATTTGGGAGGGTTCACTCAGGCACAGTGAACACTCGAAGTCTCGTTTCCAGTCGCTTTCCTGAGGGGAAAAAGGGGAAAAAAGCCTCGAGCTCCATCACAGAATGCCTGGGACACCTTCCACCATCCCAGGCTGCTGCAAGCCCATCCAACCCGTCCTTGGGCACTGCCAGGGATCCAGGGGCAGCCACWACTCCAAYCTGTGCCACCCTTCCCAAWWTCCCATCCATCCCTTTCCTCTGGCAGTGGGAAGCCATCYCCTGTGTCCTGTCCCTCCATAAATCCTCCCCATCCCGCGATGCTCCCGTCCCCTCCTCACTCCTTTCTCCCTGTCCCCCSCCAGGCTCAAGTGCCACAACAAATGCACCAAAGAGGCCCCTCCGTGTCACCTGCTGATCATCCACCGCGGAGGTAAGGCCGTCCCTCCTCCCCGCTCCGTGCCTCCGGGGATGTCGCCAGCGGGTAAAACTTTCCAAAGCCCCCCGTCCCCGGGCGATTCGGGAGCCGGAGCGTGGGCGGGGGSGTTCCCCGGCGGGACGGAGGCTCCCGAACCGCTTGGGCGCTCCGGGGAAATGTTACCCACCGTTTTTTCCGCTTGTAGGGAGACGAGCCGGTCGGGGCGAGGCAGATTTGCATTGCAAACCACTTCCACCCACCCTCCCCCTGCCTCCTTTTCTTTTCAGATTCCCCACCGCACGGGGTAAGTCCAACCAGGTTTTAGCCTTTTGCTACTGTTGAGAGAGCTCAGGGCGGATGGGGGACCCCGAAATCTCCCGGTGCATGCGGGGTCCCCGCGGATGCTCGTGGTGCTTTCGGAGCTGCCTTTCCCCGCTCTCCTGCGGGACAGCCCGGCCTAAAATCCGCACAGAGACAGGGAGGACTTTGCAGCAGGACGACGGGGCGGCGCTTCCCAGCTCTTTCCTTCCAGATTTTGGCTCCCTCGCTGGCCAGAGGACGGCGACTGCCKGAGGGAAACGCTTCCAATTGCTCTCGCCTTGAATTTTGAGCTCTTAAAGCTGTTCCTTGGTCTTAAACACCCCCCAAAAGCCCCACTCCTCGGTTTAATCCTGATCTCCTGATCGTGCTGGTGGCACCTCGGAGGGGCCGATTTTGCAGCCTCCACCCCTCCCACRCCCTCGCTTGCAGGAAATTTGGGTGGAAGCGGTTGAAGACCCCCCAACCCGCCCCCCGCTCCGGTCGGGCTCGGAGCTGCTGCAAACCCTGCCTGGGAGGCAGGGAAGGAGCGCCCTGGGGGCAGTGAGCTCCTGGGATGGGCAGGATTCGGGATTTAGGGCTGTGATGTTGAAAGAGCCGGATCTGCCCGCGGTGTGGTTTAGGAGCGGCGTGGCCTCAGCGTCACTGACATACCTCCCCACCCCCCAAAAAACCCCAAACCGAGCCCTCAAATCCTTTATTTTTTTGAGTCAAGCCATTCCTAAACCCCCCAACCTCCAGGCTGGCTTTGCCCCAAAATTTCCCTGCTTAGAGCGTTCTGAGCTGGTTCCTTCCCTCCACCCTAAAAAGCTCTGTCACGGAACAGGACTGTGCYGCCCGAGCCCGGCTCATGGAGGGGCTGTGGCGGCTGCTGAACCCCCCCAAATCGCAGCCTCACACCCCGGGGGGGTGGCTGTGGCCGGGGTGCAGGAGGATCCCGAGGTCCAGCTGCCATCCCGGGCTGGAAATGCCGCGGGAATCGCTTTGGAGAGCGGTGCGAGCACGGGGTGACCCCGAGCGCTCCCGCAGAGCTTTGATGTGTTCCCCTCTCTCTTCCCCTCCTCTCCAACCCCTTTTCCCTCTCTCCCTTCTCAATCCAGCAAGGTTAGTCCGGACAGAGTCGGTGCCCTGCGACATCAACAACCCCCTGAGGAAGCCGCCCCGCTACTCAGACCTGCACGTCAGCCAAACGCTCCCCAAAACCAACAAACTCAACAAGGTGAGCCCCGAGCCCCTCTGTGCCTGCCCCCTGCACCCGAATATCCACAGCTTTTCATGGAATCATGGAATTCTTCAGGCTGGAAAAGATCTTTAAAGAAAATTGGGTTCAGTCCTTCCCCCAGCGCTGCCAAGGCCACCACTGCCCCATGTCCCCAAGTGGCTTTTCAATGACTCCAYCCCTGCCCTGGGCAGCTGTGCCAGGCTGSAAAATCCTTTCCAGTGAAGGAATTKTCCCAATATCCMACCTGAAACTSCCCTGKYCCAGCCTGAGGCCGTTCCCTCTCCTCCTGTCCCTGTTCCCTGGAGCAGAGCCCGACCCCCCCGGCTGTCCCCTCCTGTCAGGGAGTTGTGCAGAGCCACAAGGTCCCCCCRGAGCCTCCTTTGCTCCAGGCTGAGCCCCTTTCCCAGCTCCCTCAGCCGCTCCTGGGGCTCCAGMCCCTTYCCCAGCTCTSTTCCCTKCCCTGGACAYRTTTCCAATGAGRTTATTTCTCTTAAAAATAAAACGGGATCAGCACTTCCAGAGCAGCCTGGATCCTTGCCCTGGTCCTGCTCCGTTGTGGCCTCTGAGTCTCCAGSTCCAAGCTGAATTTGGGGTGTTTTGAGGTCTCTGATTTTAACAAATCCCAAATTTACTGCTGCAAATAAAGCAAGTCAGGAATTTGATTGTCCCTGGTGAAACTGCTCAAGCCAGACCTGCTGGAGCGCCCGGCTCACTCCTGCTCTGCGATGATACCATAAACCCTTCAYGGGCTTGGTTTGCAAGGAATTCAGAGCCTGCTGGCCTCCAGTGGAAAATTCCTTGGAGGAAGGGCTGGGTGAGGGCTTGGCAGGCTGGAAATGCTCAAAAAGAGGGATATCACTGATGTAATGGGGAATGGATCATCAAAACCYCAAATTCCCAAAGCCTGGCTGAGCTCCTCCAGCCCTCAGCATCTTCAGGCTCTGGGAAAAGTCTGKGTACTGAGATGCTCCTGGAGATGCTGATTTTAAACCTAAATCCCYTTAGGATTTCCTCAGTGCAGGGATCTGCTCTGGTTTTGGTCTTATGGGGTGGTGGAAAAGGCTTTTGACCTGAGCACTCCCACTCAGGTTGAAGTTTCCCCTATAAATGTGGGGTTTTTTTTATCATGGCCCCATTTTGCATTTAGGGCCCCCTAAAAGCATTTCTTTGACGATATCCTGAATAAAATCATGGGTTGGAAGAGACCTTAAAGATCCTTTCATTCCAACCCCCCATGAAATCTCATTGTTGTGACCTTCACTGTTTGCTTAAAAAAAGAATTTACCCGGCCAGGATTGTTGAGCACAGAATGATGGCCAATATGAACTTCCTGGAAAGCCCAGCTCATTTAAAAATTAATTAATTAGGACAAAATTACCTGCTGGGGAAGGCTTGCGCAGACTTTTTTAACCTCGGAGGGGAATTCTGTGGGAATGGGAACGCTCAGCACTGCTCAGACCCTGTTCAGGGGCTCCAAGATTGAGAAAAGGGGGAAATCCTGACCTCGATCCTTCCAGAYCCCTCTGCTCCGAGCAAGGCCCTGGGTTTTGGCTCCAAGGAGCTCGGCAGGAGCTGCCAGGTCCTTTTTGTCCCAAAGTCCCAAGTTTGTGGCCCTAATTCTTGGTCTTGGTGGCCACAGCTCTGCAGAGCCGTAAGATTTGGGGGCACTCAGCTGGGTGAGGGTGGCCAAGGAGCCCCGTTCATGGTGGGAAATGGCCTTGGGGAGCACAAACAGCTTTGGGCAAAGCTCTGGAGCTCTGGGTGTTTTGTAGGATTTCTGGAATAAAAGGGTTGGGCTGACCCGCATCACTGTCACTTGTCCCCTGCGCTCCGTGGCACTTTAGGGTGGCACCACCCAGCGCCACCCTCACAATGCCTCTCTTTTCCCTCCTTCCCCGTGTCCCTCAGGACCACATTCCRGTGCCCTACCAGCCCGATTCCAGCAGCAACCCCTCGTCCACCACGTCGTCCACGCCGTCCTCGCCGGCGCCGCCGCTGCCGCCCAGCGCCACCCCCCCGTCCCCGCTGCACCCGTCCCCGCAGTGCCCGCGCCAGCAGAAGCAGTTCAACCTGCCAGGTACCCTCCTCACCTCTCTGGAGATGGGGTCACACCCTGGGGTGTCCTTGGGATGAGGAGATGTTCYACTCAATTCCCTTCCTGGACTGGCACTGGGTTGGGAGAAGGACGGAGTAGAAATGGGGATAAAAGTTGAGTTTGGGATGATTGGGGTCAGGTCGAACCTCCTGCCTGAAGAGGGGTCTGAGCCCCAAGGCTTGATCCAGTCCACGGTTGGAGCCGCCTGGACCTACTGAAGCTGCAAAAACTTTCCAGGCATTTTGCCTCAGCTCCAAACCGAAATCAGGGGCTTCCCCCTCCGTGAGAGCAAATTGGGGTGGCCCCACTGTGGTTTTGGGGTGATGTGTTCCCAGTGGGTTTGTTGGCAGCATGTGTGGGGTGACAGATGATTCCGGGGGTGTCTGATGTGGCTCATCCTGTGGAGTCTGGACCCGGAGCTCCGTCTCTTCAGGGATGGTGGGAGAGGCAGCGAGATCCCAGTGGCTGCCGGATGCTGAAATTATGGAAAATGACCCAAAAAAGCTCCTCCTRGGCTGAAGAGCCCCCTCAGAGTGTCTGCCTTCCTTTGGGATGTCCCACTGCTCCAGGAAAGGTCCCTTCTGGGAAGTGTGTCCAGCCGCTCCCAAAAAACAGCTGCCGAGGGGAGAGGAGATCCTGGGGATGCTGAAGATTCTGGCTGTCCTGGTGGCCATTCCTGGCTGTCCTGGTGGCCATTCCTGGCTGTCCTGGTGGCCCTGCTTGGTCCATCACCTCTTTGCCAGAGCAGCCGCAAGGTTGGGGTCCCTCCTTCACCCCCAAAATCCTGGGATGAAGGAACTGGTGTGGTGGGAAGGAGGGTCGGGATGGCTCCTCTGGGGGAACCACGCAGCGTCTCCGTGCTCCATGATGGTGCTTCCATCCTGGGGAACCTTCAACGGGAGAGGAGGAGGAGGAGGAGGAGGAGAAGGAGGACGAGGAGGAGGAGGAACCTGCCTGGCAGAATCCATCACCACAACAGCAAACACTTCCAGAAGCTGGGACAAACCCCAAGGACCACCCAACATGTCCCCGTGTCCCTGGAGAGGTGCCAGCCCTTTGGGATTTGGGCAGAMCCCTGGGATGGCACGAGGAAGAGAGCGGAGGAGCTGGGAGGAAGCCCTGAGCACCCCAAGGAACKCTGTGACCCATTTGTAGGGTCAGGATTTCACTGGGCACAGTCCCGGAGCCTCCAGGTTCTGGGGGGACACAGAACGGGTTCTGTCCTGGGGCGACCCGGTCCCAGGAGTTCCTCCAGAGCTGGAGCATCCCAAGATCCCTGCAGTGGAACAGCCAGGCTCAGCACCCCAGTCCTCTGCTCTGGGGGGATCCAGCCTTTGGTGACCTCTTCAAGTGTCACTTCTGGAGCAGCCACCTCCCCGTGGGGATATTTGGGATGTTATTTCCCCATTACCGCATTATTTCATGTGGTTCAAAGCAGAAACCACAGAATTTAGYCCATTTTGGGGGCTTGGAATGCATTCCCGGCCAGCAGGGCTGGGGCAGGGTGGGATCAGACCCCAACAGCTCTGGGGGGTGTTTGCTCCCTGCTTGATTCCCTYGAGGAGCAGAATGGGATCTCAAGCAGGACTCGCCCCTCTTTCATCTTCCCAGCTGGGAAGTTTTCCGTGGCTCATCCCATCGGCGTGCTCATCTCAGGGATTAGGATTTGAGCTTGGAAATTGTGACTCGGTGACCTTTTCCTGCTGGGATTACCGTCCAGGCTCCTTTGATGTTGGCTCAGGTCCCTCTGAGGGGCTGAGGTCAAACTTTGGGGTCTCCAAGCTGGTGAGGGATGGCCCTCGGGGTCTTGGAGATAAGAGGGGACTTTGGAGCTGGTGCCAACCTCAGGTGGCCTCAGCAGCTCCGTGTTCCTCACATCCATGACCTGCCTGCCCTGAGTGGGATCAATCCTTGGGCTGGAGATGGGGGGTCCAACAGCCMCGAGCCCCTCTGAGCTCTGCCTTTGGACTGCAGCCCCTGGAACTCCTTCCAGGGAAGACACAACCCCAAAATATGGCAAAAAAGGGCAGAATTGGGCCAAAATGTACAGCAGCTCTAAATCCATCCCTTGGTGTCTCCACGATGCCAAGAGGTTCCCAAATTTCGGTTGAGGGCCAGCGCCCAAACCCCTCATGAGGCTTTTTCTGGAAAAAAAGATATCCAGATCCCACCAGTGACTTCATGGGTGACATTAACGGTCTCCAAATGGTATGGAAGGGGAATGGTATGGGGGGAAAAAATCAAGTTATAATCCAGCAAAGGTCCTATTTTTTTGGCCTGGGCTCCCTATGAGCCATTTTGGAAACATGGAATATTCCAGAGGGGGATATGGAAGTGGGGATCACACAGGAGGGGGGGGTCACACAGCTGGGGGCTGGGGTTTCTGGTGCAGGGCTGGGCACGGGTCAGGGCTTTTCCAGCTCCACAGGTGGATGCTGAACCTGGTTTTTTTTTCTCTTTCCCAGCTTCCCATTACTACAAGTACAAGCAGCAGTTCATTTTCCCAGGTAAGCTCTCCGGGAGTTTTTCCCGTGACCATTCTATGGGATGTTGGGATTTCTCCCAATGGGGGTGGGTGCATGGCCGGTTCTCCTGACCCCTGGATTTGTGTCAGGAAATGTGCTGGGGTGGGATTTCTCCTCAAACCCAGGACTGTGACAATGCCTCAGGGTTGGGTGTCCCTAAGTGACACCCAGCCCTACTTGGGGTGTCCCTAAACCGGTCCTGGGCACAAAGGGAGGTTTCTGGTGGGATTTAATTCCCTTGGGAGCTTCCCAAACCTCTCTGACTTTGCTCTCTTGTCCCCAGATGTGGTGCCTGAGACGCCGACCCGAGCCCCGCAGGTGGTTCTGCACCCCGTCACCTCCAACCCCATGTGAGTGGCTCCCCCTTCCTCATCCTCATCCAGGCACCCATGGATGCTTCCTCGGCTTTGGGGGCTCAGGGGGTCCTGGTGAGACCCCGGAGCCCTGGAAGGCTGAGAGGGAATGCAAGGGGTTAATTTATAACCCACAACTCTTCACCGCCGGGAAAAAAATGGATTTTGGTCCAAAACACCAAAACCCAAGGGATTAATGAAATTGTAATTAAATTATAGATGGATAACCAGGATGCCTTTACCACCCCCAATATTTTCAAGCCCAAAATGCTTTGGGCTGAAAGTTGGGCAAAGCAGAGTCTGACCAGGGTCAGAGCCATCCCTCCCCAGCAGGGAATCTGAACCCATCACTGCCTGACGTCCCGGTGCCTGTGCTGCTCCAAGAGCGACATCCCACTGCTGGGTCTCTTCCCAATCCTTTTCCTAAAGGCCATTTTTGTAGGATTTTGGAAGCCAGGGGTTTAAAGGATTAGGTCTGGCCCCAGTTTGTGGCCAAACTCTCCAAACTCCATTGGAATGGAGAGCAATGGATGGAGTCACTGTCCCTTGGGAATTTATGGAAAAACGGTGAAGTCAGAACCTTAAATTTTTTTCCTGTCCTGCCTAAAAAGTGTCCGACATAGAACTGGCAGGATTTTGGGTGGAATAACTTCCAAAATGCCAAATCTCTGATTCCCCTTTTCCTGCTGAAAACATCCCGTGGGAGCTGCTGAGGTGAAGCAGCCGCTTTCGCTCCTTTGGAGACAGGAATTGGTGCCTGGGGTGGCCATGAGGCAGGAGGGGCCGGCTGCTCCTGCAAACCACCCGTCCGTGGAGATGCTCTGCAGCCACCTGGGCTCTGAATATCGGGATTGACTCCTTTTGTAGGGGATTTTTATCTTTCATTGGCYGTGGAATGGGATAGGACTCGCAGGATTGGCTGAGAAGTAGAATCCCCTGGGAAGGGATGTTGGTATTTCTGTTATCGATAATAATTATTAATAATTTGTTTATATGATGTCTGAAACAGTCTGAGCTGTTCCAGCTGATCCCTCACTCAGAACTTCCCTAATTCCCCATTAATTCTCAGAGGTGGTGAGACCCCAGTGGGGACCTGGTGGTGGGAGGTGCTGAGGAAACAGGGCAGGAAAAGAACTGGAAAATCAGTTGGATTTGTGTGCTTTACTGCAGGGAGAGGATCTTTGAACCCTTTTTTAAAAAAAAATTGAAAAATTCCTTTTCTTCTGCACTTTTGCATTGGTTGGTTGGGAAGAAATCTGAGCAATCCCAAAAAATGCCTCGGGGATGTGGGCAGGGGGTAAATCTGTCCCTTACCCCATCAGTGACACCTTCTCCTCCCCCATCCCATTATCCCTGGGGCGGGAAGTGGGAAGTTGCTCCCCGAATCCCGGTGTTTTTCCGTGGTGTTAATTCCGTAATTGTTTTCACAGCCTGGAAGGAAACCCATTGCTTCAAATTGAAGTGGAGCCCACCTCGGAGGTGAGACGGCTCCTGTGCTTAATGGGGCTTGGTTTTAAGGATATCTTGGGGCACATTTGCTTGGAAATGGAGAAATTTCCCATCTGTGCAGTGGAATTGCTGATAATTGAATTAAAGGCCAGGCATCCGTGTCCCCACCCCGTGGAGAGAGACCCTCCTGGGCTTCAAGTTTAAAATTCACTGAGGATTTTTTTTAGGATGCGTTAAAAATGATGGGCAGAAGGGGGATGGGAGAAGGAGGATGAGGATGGAGCTTTAAAAGGGCAACGTAAATCCTGTGGAAAGGATAAAAGGACCCTCAGGGTGTCTGGGAATGCTGACCAGGGGGTGCCAGGGTGGGAATAATGGGAATTACCAGAGCACAGCACAGCTAGCGGAGGATGAAAATGTTTTCAGACAAATTAATTGAATCTCTGATGGGTCACAACCCTAAATTTAACCCCAGGGTGAATAAATGGCTCCAGGGGGCAGTGGTGGAGTCCCCATCCCTGAAGGGATTTCAGAGCCCTGTGCATGTGGCACTTGAGGACGTGGGTTTGTGGTGGCCTTGGCTGTGCTGGGGAATGGTTGGAGTTGATCTCAGAGGAATTTTCCAACCTAAAGAATTTCATGATTGCATGAGAGCTGTGATTTTGCATGGAATGGGGCTGCATTGTCGGCTTTGGAAGGTGCCTGCCTGGTTCCTCTGGGTCAGAGTTGGATCAGCAGGGTTTTCCCCGCATTTTTTTCCCTTTTAATTAACCAAAAACCTAACCCTAACCCCAGAATTCCCCGTTTAATCATTCCCGATGCCCTTTTCCCACCGCAGAACGARGAAGGCGCCGAGGAGGCGCAGGAATCCGAGGACGACTTTGAGGAGATGAACCTCTCGCTCCTCTCCGCCCGCAACTTCCCGCGCAAGGCCAGCCAGACCAGCATCTTCCTGCAGGAATGGGACATCCCCTTCGAGCAGCTGGAGATCGGGGAGCTCATCGGGAAGGGCCGCTTTGGGCAGGTGTTCCACGGCCGCTGGCACGGCGAGGTGGCCATCCGCCTCATCGACATCGAGCGCGACAACGAGGACCAGCTCAAGGCCTTCAAGAGGGAGGTCATGGCCTACAGGCAGACCCGGCACGAGAACGTGGTGCTCTTCATGGGGGCCTGCATGAGCCCTCCCCACCTCGCCATCATCACCAGGTTGGAGCGCTTTTTTCTTGCCCAAACATTTGTTTTTCCTGGCTAAATTTTGGAAGTTTACGTCGGGTTTTTTTCCTGCGGTCTGGCTGTTGGGTTGAGTTTCCTGCCCTATGGAAGGGATGTTCTCCACGTCCCCTATCCATGTTCTCCTTGCTCTGTGTCCATGATCTCCACATGCCGTGTCTGTGTTTTTCATGTGCTGTGATTTGAGGAAAGGGTAAATCCAAAGATGTGTCCAGGCAGGTCGTTCCTCTGTAGGAATGGAGCTCCAGACAGGAATGGTTTGGTTTTTCCATGGGCAGGAAGCATCATGGAATCATGGAGTGGTTTGGGTTGGAAAGGACCTTAAAGCTCATCCAGTGCCACCCCTGCCATGGTAGGGACACCTTCCACCATCCCAGCCTGGCCTTGGACACTGCCAGGGATCCAGGGGCAGCCACAGCTTCTCTGGGCACCCTGTGCCAGGGCCTCCCCACCCTCCCAGGGAACAATTCCTTCCCAATATCCCATCCATCCCTGCCCTCTGGCACTGGGAAGCCATTCCCTGTGTCCCGTCCCTCCATCCCTTGTCCCCAGTCCCTCTCCAGCTCTCCTGGAGCCCCTTTAGCCTCCCCTGGAAAACTGGGAACCTCCCTGCAGCTTTCTGGGGAGCTTTCTGGGGMGTCCCAAACCATCCAGCACCTCCACAGCTGCCTCAGTCTCACGGCAATCCCAAACACCCRCCCTCACCTGCATTCCCAGCAGGAAATGCAGCACAGAATGTCCTCCTGGTGTAATCCATTCAAAGGTGGGCAAAAATTCCCAGCTGGCCTGGAGGACAAGAGGCTGCAACTCCCAGAGCTGCTGTTATCATGGGAATTACAGTTATTCCTGGGAATTCCGAGGTGTCCATCACCTCCAGGCCGTGCATTCAGCCACAGGACTTGACACAGTCCCACTTTTCATCCCACCCCGGGTTATTTTCTCCCAGAGAAGTTCCCCCAAGGTGAGGTTGAATTTTCCCTCCTGGCAGCATTTCAAAAAGCAATGGAGCRGCACCGCTCCCAAGAGCCATTAGTGATGAAATATTGCATCATCTTTTCCTAACGTTCCTAATTTCCCTTGGAAGTGCCACCTCCCAGTCCCCGATCCCAGGGGATGGGGCGGCTCTGCAGGTGCTCTGCCCCCTMTTTGCCCAAACCAAAGGATTCCAACCCAAATTTGTGGTGCCTTGTCCCTYGCTCTCTGCTCTGGTGGGTTCACGGATTTTATTTGTTTTAGGAATTGCATCCTCTGGAGTCAGGGTGACTCCAAAAAGCAGGGCTGGCTCTCCCCAGCTGGCGACTGGGAAAACGATGCCTTTTGTTCAGGACCAAAAATGAGCCATCTGGGGGAAAATTCCGCAGCATCTCCATCTATTGGGTAGCTCCAGGCCAAAAGCTTTTGGAAAAGTGTGCAAACACATGTATTGATGGATGAGTCAGAGCCCCCATCCGTGTGTCACACCGCGTTCCCAAAGGAAAAGGCGGCGTCTCCGTCCCGCTCCACCATCCCTTTGCAGCCCCTGTTTGCTCAGCTTTTCAGGGCTATTCAATAGCAAAACCTGGGAAATTTATTCCTTGATTTTTAAATTTTTTTTWAATTTATTTTTTTTKCAGCATGGAATGTTTTYCCYSTTCCATTTTCTATTCCAATGGGTCTTTCTGTAAAAGCAGAAAGGTGCCATTTTTGACAGCTGGACAAAATCAATCCATGAGCTGCRGCTTCCTGGTGAATTAATATGAGGAATGTGGAGCTCTGCTCGTCCTGTTCCTCTTCCAGCTGYGCTTGGACCTGTTTTTTTAAGGTCAAAATATAAATTTATTTAATTGCCCAAAATGAAATCCGAGCTCGCAACATCTTCCAGGCATCGTTTGGATTTTCCTACAGCTCGCTTTGATCTGCATCCTTCCTAAGTTTAACCAAATTCAGCTTTAAGCCAAAGGAGAGTAGGGTTARATGGGATTTTGGGAAGGAATTGTTCCCTGGGAGGGTGGGGAGGGGCTGGGATGGCATTCCTGGAGAGGCTCTGGCTGCCCCTGGATCCCTGGCAGTGTCCAAGGTATAGGATATTGGGAATGGTATAGGAATATTGGGAATGATCCAGGGTATTGGAAATGGTTCAGGATACTGGGAATGGTATAGGATACTGGGAATGGTATAGGATACTGGGAATGGAATAGGATACTGGGAATGGTATAGGATATTGGGAATGGTATAGGATGCTGGGAAAGAAATAGGATACTGGGAATGGTATAGGATGTTAGGAATGGTCCAGGGTATTGGGAATGGTATAGGATGTTGGGAAGTGTCCGGGGTATTGGGAATGGTCCAGGATACTGGGAATGGAATAGGGTATTGGGAATAGTATAGGATACTGGGAACAGTCCAGGTTATTGGGAATGGTCAAGGATACTGGGAATGGTATAGGATATTTGGAACGGTATAGGATATTGGAAATGGTTCAGGATATTGGGAATTGAGGTGGCACTGAGGGAGCACTGCCCTTCTGACAGGACTTTCCCAAAGGGACTCAACTTCTCCCCATGTGTTTATGGGAATAACTTTAAAMCAGCTTTGCTTGGAGTGGGTGAAAATCATCCCCAGCTGCCAGAGGTGGGGATTACAGATACAAACCCAGCATGTCTGGATTTCATCACCTTTCCTGTGCCCATTCCCAGGGCAGGAACGTGYGCACGAGGCCGCCTTTTCTTCTGGGAGCCCACAAGTGGCCACTCGAGGCCGTTTTTCCCCACAAAATCCCAGCGATTCCTTGTGGCTGTGGCAGAAATCTCCGTTTCCCTGCACGTCTGGAAGCAGCTGCGTGTCCCTGGGAAGGGGCTTCACCACGCCGTGCCACCGGCGCTGCCGGAAGGGGGTTATTTATAGCCGCGTTTATTTTTAATTTTCCCCATCCCGACGTTTTCCTTCCTGATTGCCTGAGATATTCAGGGATCGTCTCATTAGCGGGAAGAAACCTCCCCATCCAAGCGGCAGGGGAAAGATAGGAGGGGAAACTGAGGCAAAGGCTTGATGAGGATGTGGTGCTTTGGGCTAATAATCTGATTTTCCCTAATTTAACCATTTTAGTGGATAAATGGGACCAGCGCTGTTTAATTCTTCATCAATGATAAAAATATTGGAACTGAGGCTGGAAAAGGCTCCAGGGAGAGCTCAGAGCCCCTAACAGGGCCTAAAGGAGAGCTGGAAAGGGATTTGGGACAAGGGATGGAGGGACAGGACACAGGAATGGCTTCCCAGTGCCAGAGGGCAGGGATGGATGGGATATTGGGAAGGAATTGTTCCCTGGGAGGGTGGGGAGGCCCTGGCACAGGGTGCCCAGAGAAGCTGTGGCTGCCCCTGGATCCCTGGCAGTGTCCAAGGCCAGGCTGGACATTGGGGCTGGGARCAGCCTGGGACAGTGGAAGGTGTCCCTGGAATGGGATGGGCTTTAAGGTCCCTTCCCACCCAAACCATTCCGTGATTCCTGAGCTGTCTCCTGATGCGACAGAAAAGCAGAAATCCAACATTTTTCGGCAGCAGGAGGTGGCGACTCCAAGGAACGCTTCCCTCAGAGCTGCTAATGGGTTTTCTCCTGAGTAATGAGCGCTGGGGACAATTAACATCCATCTTAATTAGCCTGGAGCAGGAGCGGGCGCGAGCCTCAGTGCTTAATGGACGAGGGGAAACGGCAGCGGAGTCCTCAGCTCCCCAGGAAGGAAAGGGATGGGAAAACTCCTGGGTTTTGGGATAACGAGTTGGCTTTGCTGGTGGGGAATGAGACAGAGCCYGGCCTGGGTAAGCTCAGCTCCCAGGGGATCTGGGTCCTGGCTCCAGGGTGGGAACAGAGGTAAAGCCTCAGCACCCCACGGGGTCCTTCCAAGGACAAAATCCTTCTGTAATCCTGCTAAAATGGCTCCAGCACCCCGTGAGAGCAGAAACTCTGACATTTTAGGATTCTGGGGGTTCCTCCTGGGAAAAARAAAGGGATTTTAATGCTTATTGATCCTTCCCAGGGCTCCTGGTGCTCTTTGTGTCTGTGATRGTAGAGAGGGATCAGTGCTGCCTGTGGGATGGCTCCTGTCATGTGGGAGAAGGGAGCGAGGTTATCYGGGCTGGGAGAAGGTCTGAGCTGGGCTTTGTCCTGCTTTGTGAGGGGGATTTGGGGCCACTTTTCCAAGATTCCTCGGGATTTGGGGTGCGGTATAGGATACTGGATAGCCAAAGCTCTCTCGGAGCCAGTGCAAAGATCTTGGGATGCTCCAGGCTGGCTCTTGACCCCTCTTTTGTCACACCAGGGTGACTTCAGCTTTCCAGGGTGCCACCAGGGCTGTGTGGCCGTGATTTATTGTCTCTGCTGGGAAGACCAGGGAGAACATTGAGGAACATCAGGGGTTCAGCCTGACCTTGGCAGAACTGTGTAAAGAGAATTAATTTGTCCAAGGTGCCTTTGGAGCGGAAGAGCTTGGAATGTTTCTGCTGGAGAGGGAGCATCTCCCAAACCCTCCCCTGGAGCTGGTGGAGATAAACCCAGCCCTTGTCTTTATGTGAGATATCTGAGGTGAAATGGGAGTTTCCTCCTTTTTCTCTGTGGAAAATGGGTTTTAATGACAGGAACACATTCCTTGGCGGTGATTAATAGGGGAAGTGTGAGAATGAGGGATGGGGAGAACACCTGAGACACTTGGGCTGTTTATTCATGGATAACCTCAGTGCATGGACTAAACATTGGGGTTTGTTTTGATTTTATAATTAATTCCAAGGCGGATTTTGCCAATATTTAATGTTTGACTCTGCTGCTGGATGGAACAAGCCCCGCACGAGGGATACTCTCCCATCCCTGCACCTCGTTCCCCGTGGGCGTGGAAAAGCTCTGGACAAAGCTCAGCTTTAAACTCTCAGCCCTTCTGAGCCTCTCCCAGTGCCAGATCTCCTGACATTTACAGGCACAGCCCGGCTGGGAAGGATTTGGGAATTGTAAA